TCAATATATATATATATATATATATAATATGATTATTTTTACGCTCACCGCAACGTCACCGCACCATGGGCAGCAGCCATACGCACAAAACTCAAATGTGAGACTGCAGCGAAAGTGATTCATCTAGGGATAGAGAGAGAAAGGCGCAACCTTTACAATATTTAACACTAAGAAGAACAGCAAAAAGCAGACAGCTCTCTCAGAGATAGAGAGAGATAGGGAGGAAACAGGAAAATAATCACTTAACCTCTCTCCCTCTCTCTCTCTAAACTCCAATGGCTTTTTCATTCAGTAGAATCTACTTTGAATGTCTGGTGGTGGTATTATTGATCATGGTGTGGTGCCCTTCGCTGGACGCTGCCGGTAAGACTGTTCCGGCGGTTTATGTATTGGGCGATTCGCTTGCAGACGTGGGGAATAACAACCACCTATTGACGATCATGAAGGCCGATTTCCCTCACAATGGCATCGACTTCACCGGCGGTAAGGCCACCGGTCGCTTCAGCAACGGCAAAAACTCCGCCGACTTTATCGGTAAATCGTACTAAGGCTTTGTTCGAAGGAGTTTCGCTTTATTTTATCAAATGAAATATAAATTTACGTGTTAATGAATCCTTAAGTATATACTTCTAGAGTATAACGATTTGGGTGATAAAACGTAATTTCATGTGCTGTAAAATAATTCACACTTTATATATAAATTTAACATCCTTTTTCGCTCAATAATAAATTAACTTGATTGACCTGCTTTGATTTTGGCAGCTGAAAAGCTAGGCTTGACATCTCCACCAGCTTATCTTTCCATCAACTCCAGCTTTTACGCCTCTCAGGCACTCGCTGGCATCAATTTTGCCTCCGCCGGCGCCGGTATCCTAGATGCTACCCACAGCGTAAGAGCTTCTTAGGCTTCGTTAGCTGCAGTTATCTGCTACGGCGGCATTTGAAAACGTCGGCTCATCGTTTGAAAATTGTGTTTGAATAATTTATCTGAAAACGTAGTCAATTTTTTACGCTACATGTGGAACGCGTTATCTGAAAACGTAGTCAATTTTTTACGCTACATGCGGAACGCAGGTCAATCCCTACGGTCTGCATTTCCAGATAAACAGCTTATCAAGAAAAACACAAGCTGACCCAAACACACTCTTAAACTCCATATAATTTAGCAAATATATGAATTACCTTTATATAATATGTCAATTCCATCAAATTAAATTATTTTACTGAATAGTTAATATTTGTGGAAAAGGAGCCTAACAAGCTTATATATATATATATCACAAAAAATTCTATTCCACAGCCATAATAATAATTTAAAAAACAAAGAAGTGCTAAAAATGAAATCCAACTAACAAAGTCCAATAAAAATTCAGGGTGAATGCCTATCACTGAACAAGCAGATAGACTACTTATCTACTGCATATGCATCAATGGTGGAGAGCATAGGTAATGAGCAAGCCCAAGCGCATCTAGCCGACTCCATCTTTGCCGTTATAATCGGAAGCAACGACATCTTCGGATATGTTAAATCCAACGGCAACGCGACTCCCCAGCAGTTTGTCGGTTCTTTGATCTACACATTGCAAGGCCAGCTCAAGGTAAGATTATCATAAATTTACATACATTCCATGATATTTATACTTCTAACATATTGTGTCATAAATCTGTTCATGAAAATATGCATTTCACCTTTAAAAAGATTATATATTAAACATTTGAGTCTCTCAAATATGAATGTTTATGAATGTTAGATGTTTAAATACATAAGAATTGTGAGGTAGGGTCTCAAGTCTCAATAGCAACATCACAGTAGTTTATTTCCTTCACAAAAGGCAACTTGAAAATTCTAGCAGCAATAAGCATCACAAAAAAGAAGTGTAAATGCTTATTTGTGTTTGGCTCAATCGAAAATATTTAGTTGAAAGCAGCTCGAATTTGAATTGTTCATGAATAACATATCCTTATTAGATTTATTTGAATTCATTTATTGATATACTAAATTGTAATGCTTTATAACGATAGAACATTAATTTTTGTATTGAACCAAACATAAACTATTCGCTAAAAACAAGCCTTTTTCAACACCCCTACTAAAGAAAAAATCACTACAATGTACCAACACCAACTAGCTCTAAAGTTCTAACTGGGTATAATAACCATCTTCAAACCTCCAAACTACTCTCAAACACAAACAAATCCTTCTCATTTAACGATCATATTCTCCTTGTTTTTCTACCTCATTAATCATAATTACAGTTCAACATGTACTAAGTAAACTCACTAAGACTTCTAAACCAGAGGCTGTACAACATTGGTGCTCGCAAGTTCTCCTTCGCCGGCACCGGCCCTGTCGGCTGCTGTCCATCCCTGAGAAGACAAACCCAAACAAATGCCTGCAACGCAGCCGCTAATTCTATCTCTGATCTCTTCAGCCAAGCTGCAGCTTCTCTTCTCCAGGAGTTGAAGTCACAGCTCACAGACATGAACTACTCATTCTTCAACACCACCCTTGCAATGCAAGAAATCATCCAGACTCCCACCAATTATGGTATCATCCATCAATCAATATTCATTCTACTATTATCATTTTGACAAATTTCACCAAAAACAAATCCATAATTAATTAAAAAAAATGAAATTTTATTTCTGTAGGATTTACTGAAGTGGAGGCTGCATGCTGTGGACTGGGAGATCTGAATGCTAAGGTGGCCTGCACTCCCATCTCTTCCTACTGTTCTAACAGGACGAATCATGTTTTCTGGGACTTCTACCATCCGACGGAGGCGACGGCTGGGATCCTCGCAGCAGACTTGTTTGACGGCTCGGCGCCACACGTCTATCCGGTTAATCTGAGGCAGTTGAGCGCGCTTTAAGTGGGAGGATTGCCGATGTTTTATGTGCGGGCTTAGGGATGGAAGTGAAGCATCTCGCCGAAGTTTGTGTATGTGGAAGGATTTGTGTTTGATATTTACCATACAAAGAAGTGTGAATTAATGAAATTTGTATGTTTTTAGTCAAATGGTGAAGTTAGGAGAGTGAGAAACGTTCAGTAAATGTCTTGGAGCCTGATGAGCTAATGAGCGAAACTCCAGTCAGCCCCGACTCAACTCATTATCTCATTAGTTCATGATTATAATATAAAATAAAGATTATTAAAATTAATTAAGTATAATTTAAAAAAAATATTTTAAAATATTAACATAATAGTTTAAGTATAAATTATTAAAACTAATTACAAATTATAGTTTGCTTTCTTATATAAGTCAATTTTTTTAAGTATAAATTATTAAAACTAATTACAAATTATTGTTTGCTTTTTTATATAAGTCAAAAAAATTTTATTGTATCTCCTCTAGTTGCTCATTCTTATTAGCATTTAATTACAATAGTTGTTTGAATCAAAATTTATTTCTCATTAATATTAAACAAGCAAGGTCACGAGCCGACTTTAAGTAATAGGAATAAGTTTGAGCTCAAACTCAATTAATTAATCAACCTCAAGTTGGGGGTGGCTCAAGCTCAGCTCAACGTCTTTATATTCCTTGTTGAAGTCATCCATTTATCTACATAATAAAACACCCATGATCACCAGGGCACTGAGAACAATCATACATGAAGTCACACGACTGAATATAAAGTTGAAATTAGCGAGCTTATGATTTTGCTAAGCTTGACATTCAGGGCCAGAACCATTCTTCATTTTTACCAAGTTTCAAATCAAAGTTGTAAAATATATTGTGGCAGTTACGTACATACCACACAAATCTTATGCAATTACATATCTAACACCTGAACTTTCAAATTTATATGAATATCAATCAAAACTTCAACATCACAACAAAAAATCTACCATAACTACCTTTTTAGATGTAAAATACACCTTTTTATGCATAGACTTATAACACCAAGGCTATATACTTGTAAATATGAAACTTTCAGTATTAGATATGTAAATACAAAAGAACTGTGGTATGTATAATTCCCGGGATATATTAGAAACAACTTATTTTCTCTTGTCAAACTTGGTTTTTTTCTCATGCTTGAGAAGATATCAAATTTTAAGCAAACCTCACTCCCTCTTTATGTATATATATGTATTCATTAAAAAAATATTTTATTTATAGTTACTCAACAAATTGAATGTTCGATTATTATTTAATATATTTTCAATTTTTTTACAAATTTGTCTAAAATTAAATTTAAATTAGAGGAAATTATCCGAGCATTAAAGCTAACTTCATGTGCTTTACCTCTATCAACAAAAGTTCCAAGTGCATAGAATTGAAAATTTTCATACATGAACATGAAATTGGTGATTATGATGCCAGATGCTCAGTAAATGAGAAATCAATCAAGTTTTTATTGAATTATTGAATAAAAAACAAACATATTCACAAACATAAATAAACAAGTAGATCAACATTCCTCTTGGATTTTTTAATATTTCAAGCCCCAAAAAGCATAGATTTCTTCATTGAGCAGGTTGATTGGCTTACAACCTCATTTCGATCTCAAGTTTATGATTGGCATCATTTTTTGCATGATCTACATCATTGTTTTTTATTTAATAAAGAATCCGAAGATAGTTGTACAAAATGACAAGTAAAACCCAAAAATGAAAATACAGGAGGGGCATAAATATAGAAAAATCTCATCCTTATCCTTATAAATTGACATAAAAATAATGACTTCTACCATTTGACTACTTAAAGAAAATTCTTACCTCCCATACGTTGAATGATACTTAATCATCGAGCCATAGGCTAGATAAGGGCTTCTCTTGACACGAGTCAATGCTCTCTAGTGCAAGTTTTTGAATCTGGTTCTCAATTAACTCCAGTGGAAGGCTAGCATCAATAACCTATGATATAAGAAAAAAAATGCAATAAAACAAGGGCAAGGATAATCCGTTAAATGACTAACTGAAAAAATGATTAGCAATTAATGTAATCCACATGGAACTAATTAGAAGCAGAAGGTAGAAACAGGTGTTTGATATTAGTTAATAGACAGACACAGCAAACTTTCATTTTTATGTCATCATCAAGGGATATCCCCACTATTGAACCAAATCAAAAGGAGAAGATAAATCAGAAGGTTTTGGAGGCTGGAGGATGGAAAAAAAACAAGTGTCAAAATAGTCCCTTATTATTTACATGCAGTCATTTTAGTCCCAGAGCCTATAAAAGTATCAAATTAGTCCTCCAACTATTTTAATACCCTCTTTAAAAGAGTCTGATAACCAAATTGACACTTTTATATATATTGGAACTAAAACAACTCCCCAACAAAGAGTCAAATGACCATTTTAACACTTTTCTTGAAAAATAACAAAGAACTTTTAGAAGAAGTAGAAGAAACGTGCTTAAGTTAATTCTCTGCTAAATGCTAGCGTTCTTTCTATTGAAATATAAATATACAAAGTAACAAATACTAATATTCTTGATAACTGGTATGAAAATAATTTGAGTTTCAAAAGAAGATTTTTCCTGCATTCACTATGAAAACTAGGATGCAAAAGGCTATACACATGAGATGGAAAGAAAGAGATGAAATGCTCAACTTTTTATAAGGTGTCATTTCAGAAGATTCATTTAGTTTGAGAAGTACCTTCCAGGTAGCATCATTGAGAATCCGATAATAGTGGGCAACATTCTTTTGGAACTCAAGTTGTTCGTACCTTTCAAATCCATAGTTTCCTCTTCTTGCAGCTTCCTGATAAAAGGTTTGGTCTCAAAACAAACATATACTTTTCGTAACACCAACAAATTGGAAGTAGCAGCTGATTTTAAAAATAATGATTTATAAATTCTATATCAAAGTGATTGAAAATGGCTAAATTATGAAGTTATTGCACAGTGAAAATGAATATGGTAATTGATATGGATCATAGCAATATGGCCTAATCCTTGGTAAATTTATTTACAAAACAAAATGTCTGATTGGGATAGCTGCAATATTTTTGTAAAGTTGGTTGTAAAGCTAAAAAACAACTTTTTAGAAAGTTGCAGTGAGAATTATAGATATTTATTTATTCAAAATGTCACACAACAAGTTTCTTACACTCACTACTCTTTAATAGATATGATTGCAAAAAATAGCTTTCCACCAGAAAAATTTCTAAAAAACAAAAATAAAGCAGTTCCCCAACAATGACTGTAGTGGTGGTCTGAAACGCAATGCAAATAAAAAGTTGTACAAAGCAGACCCAAAATGTAAAACTGCACACCAAATTCAAAAGATATACCTCTGGCAATATATCCAGGAAAACAACTAGATCTGGAGCTATCAAACCCTTTTCTGGAGCCTGCAAAAGGTAACATATTATCTGATAAGTTGCTTCAAAAAAATTCAAAGTAGCCACATACTGTTACCTTACACCACTTGACATTAAGGCCTTTGGCAGCTGAAAAAGAAACTCCTGAATATGAATAACGGTCAACCACAAGTGTGGTTCCATTTCTTAGCTTATTCTCCATTAGTGACCTAAAGGAGAAATGCATTAAAAGTTAATAATTAAATTCATTTGGAACTGCATATTTTTATTATCTAAAACTCTTCCAACTATCAACTACTAAATAACAAATCCAGAAAATGTTCGTACTGTCACCAATTATGATAGTTAAGACGTTTGTAAAAAAAAAAAAAAAAAAGCACTTCAGTGCATTGTTTTGTACATTGAAAGTAAATAGCACAAGTAAATGAAGGAAACCTCTTCTCCCATCTGTTTGCACTGAAAAGTAAATGGATTGTTTGATCATCTAGCTCTGAATTGTTGGTGAGATATGATGAAATCATTCTTCCAGTATCAGTATTTCTATCAGGGAATCGCCATGCTTCTACTGGAAGGCCATTCCCTTCAAGGAATGAGACCAATCTGCCACACTGAGTGGTCTTCCCACAGCGATCCAATCCTTCCAAAACAATAAGAGCGCCTCGTTTGGTAACATGTCCACTATTGTACATCTCAAATTGCATAAAAAAACTCCTCTTTGCTGTTTTTTTTGAGGTCTTCAAGGATTTTCCAGTTCTTATGGTCCTGAAGCCACTGAAGAAATGAGGCAATCTCTTAGCTCTATTTTATAATAAAAACTTCCAACAAATTCATATTCACGTAAAAAAAATATATGTTCAAACTTTGCAAATGCGTGGTGAAGCCAACACAGTGGCTCAATCATTAAGTTTCATAAATTTGCAGATCAACATTCTGCAAAGAAAAAGAAACATTCAACCATGCACTAAGTAATATCCGGTTATGCCCTTAGTGTTAACACGAGTACTAATTTCTATTTTGAAACTTCTATCCCGCATTGTACTAATAATATATGCCAAGCATCCAATTAAAATGAAACTAAATCCCACCAAGATTTTTATACTTAAAAAAGCAAATTATACAAATTAATTATGTAACAAATCACATATATCTTTACCGACATAAAAGTATCAGTAAATTAAGTAAAATAAAGCTCTGATTAATGCAAAGAAAAATGATTAACTAGCTTTACAATGTGCATAGAAAAAAAAAAGGTCTTACATGAGTCTTCGAGAAAGTAGAGTATACGCACGAAGCATGCCCGTCTCTGGCAAAGCAAACAAGTGAACAAAGAAGAATAGCATCATTGACAAAAATCACTCAAATCCAAGGAGAAACCACAGAAAGAATTTTCCTCTTTCTTCAGACAAACAAGGTTGAATTAAGAAACTTGTAACAAACATTAAAGTGATATTAAGAAAGACAATTAAATTGTAGCATAAATGTTCACAAATATGTACCCTTATTTGCATTAAATAATAGTTTATCACATCTCTTGATAAATAACATACCAAGAGAACACTAGTCTCCATACATCATAAGCGAGATATGCAAACATCTAGAAAAGTAGACTATTTGTGAACCAACAGAAGAGCTGATTGTTGACAACTTTAATGTTATAAAATGTTATAGCAAATGTCAGCTATTTATCTTTTTGACATATTTTCTCTACGAATTCTCTAAAAAACATCTATGCCATAATTTCGTGACATCAAGATTCTTCCTCTATAAAACATCTCCTTTTGCCTTTTTCTCTGCTTTGATCTTCCTATGCTCCTCTTCCTCATAGCTTTAGTAATTTACATTGTTTTGAACCCCTAGATAGAGGGAAACCAAGGAGAAAGAGTTCAGAAATAAGAGAAAAGAAAAGGTGCAATTCTAGAAGGACATTGTATACTTGTTCAACTGTCAGTTGTTCAATGTTGTTTTGAGTCGAGGAACCCGGACAATCACGCTTATGACATCACTGAGGTCAAATTGAACAAACGATATGTGAAGTTTGATCCTTTTTGTTTTGGCACGCCAAGCTACACAAATTTACCACCTTCAATACCTGGTAGAGTAAGAGATAAAGTTGATTGGGTTGTGGTTGTGATGAATAAACCAAAAAAAAAATATTAAGCTGCATAGTTCTATAGAACAAATTCACCAAGAGAAAAATATTTCAAATTTCCGTATTCAAGGCGATACAAATGATGAAATGTTTGCGATGGATGATACAACAGGGATTATTGAAGAGGTTGCTCATGGTTTGAATGATGACAATGAAGAGAGTGAAGAAGAAATTTTAGGTTCATTTTCCATAGCGAGTTCTTCTAATGAAACTTAATAACAAATGTACGCAAATTTTAGATTAGTTGTTACTACTATTACTTTATGTCTTTTACTTTTATTTTTTTGAGCAATATGTCACGGACTAACTTTTCTCAAGCTATCCGTGCGGCTTTAGCGCTCTCTCTTAGCACTAAATCAGCCTAACCTTCTCACACTAACAACTCAAAGAACTCTCTTGAAAGTAGAATAGGAAGAAGAGTTAGAGAAGGTAAACACTTCACTAATAAAGAGAGATTACAAAGCTTGAAAGCTTGAAACCTTGGATGGATTGGAATGAGGGAAGGGACTCTTATTTATAGCTTCTCCCATGTCTTTGGTCTTACACATAACCAATGTGAGACTATTTTTCAAGGGAAGCTTTACAATATAATATTCTATATTCTAGATGCTTCTACACTATTCTTATGTACATACATATTCTAGATTCTTCTAGGTTGTTTCTTTAGACCTTCATCTTCTAAAATAATCCATCATGTCATAGTATTGGTGGGGCGTGACACTCTCCCCCACTTAAGCTTACAATGCCCTCATAGCGCTTCTCCTCTTGATACTATTTGATCTTCTCCTTAAATTGTCATAGTGTGTCTTCATGCTCCCAACTGGCCTCGCTATCAGACCATCCTTTCCACTTGATGAGAAACTCCTTGTAGTTTGGTACCCCTCGCCGACTGATCGCCCTGTCGGCCATTATTTCTTGAATTGAATGGCTGATAGCATCTTGGTTTCCTGCTGCCTAGCTCATGTCGTCGGTACAACGCAAGCCTGATCGCCTCCCATGATACACATGCTATTGGCAAATAGTATCATGAACGCCCTTACTTGGTCCAAAAATTCTATACCAAGGATTACTTTGAAATCATCCATGAAAATGATGGAGAAATTTAGCGTACCTCACCAATCCCCTACACAGGTTTTCACTCCTTTAGCCACTCCATGGATCGGCCTCGCTACAGAGTTAACCGCCTTGATGGAGCCCCCACTTACAGTTGTTTGCAGACTCATCCTCCTTGTTTCTTCAATAGAGTGAAGTTGTGAAAAGCTCCCGTATCTATCATCGCATTAGTAGATGTCTTCCCTATAATCACCTCTACAAAGAGAAGTCCTTTTGCCGGGGTTTTGGAGAGGAGCGTACCGCATTGAGTAGTTGCATGGTTCCCACCCGAGCGTCCATGTCATTTTCCTCTACCTCCTGATGGCTTGCAATAAGAGAGTTCAGAGTTTTCTTCTGCGGGCAATATCTTACCCAATGTGGTCCTCCACAAAGGAAGCAACTGTATGGTTTAGTCTTATTGTTGTTGTTAAACTTCCCTTTGTCGCTTGCTTTGAACGAGGTCGATTCGCGACGATTCTCTTCCTTGTGTTGGTCTCGGTCTCCCCCACTTCTGACATAATTGCTCTTCTTTTCTTTTGGCTTTGTAGACTCCTTTGTATAGTCCACCAAGCTTTCTGCAATGGCGATGGCAGAAGCAAGATCTTGTGCACCACGCCTCTTAAGCTCCGTCTTTGCCCATTGTTGGAGTCCATTCATGAAGTTGAATAGAGCATCTTTGTCTGACATATCAGGAATTTCAAGAACCAGACTAGTAAACTCCTTGATATATTCTCGAATCGATCCCATTTGCTTGAGTATTCGCAATTGGGCTCTAGCCTCACATTCCGCATTCCTCATCATCCGCATTTTCAGGGTAGAACTGTCTCTTTAGCTCTTTCTTAAAGCAATCAAAAGTGGAGATGATACACATACCTTTTTCGACATCTCATCGCCTTTTTCTCCACCATAGCATAGCAATATCAGAGAGATAAAGACCAGCAAATTGAATTATTGTCTCTTCATCCGTGATCCCTATCGCTCCGAAGTATTGCTCCAGTCCCCCATAAGAAATTATCCACTTCTTTTGCATCACGAGTTCCTCCAAAACTCTTTGGCATTGGCACCTCAATCCTCTTGGATTCGAAGGTTTGATGGTTGGTAGGTGTCGCTAGTGCCCTCTTGCACAACGAAATGTCCCCACGCATCTGTTCCAAGCTAGCACGCATGTCACTCATCTCTTATAGGCACTTCGCACCTCTTGGAGCTTCCCCATAAAATCTTCCTGCAACTTAGCCACTTGGCCCATTAAGGTCTCCTCAAGTTGGAGCATCATACATCTGATTGTTGAATGGATGGTGACATCCTCCTCCTCGAGCCCATCAACCCTTTGACCAAGATCCTCTACTTTGCCCTCCATGTCATTCATTGCCTCCTCCATCCGAGCAAGGCGTGAATCAAAGCCAAGCATGATCTCCTTAGACCTCCCATGTGGCTTGAGTGCAACGGAGTCCCTTTGCTCCTGGCGACCTCGCCTTTGAGATGACTCCACATTAGTGGCTTCCGACTCCATCACGCGCTCCTTGACGCTTTTCGCCATTCCCTCGAACCAATGCTTTGATACCAACTGTCACGGACTAACTTTTCTCAAGTTATCCGTGCAGCTTTAGCACTCTCTTAGCACTAAATCAGTCTAACTTTCTCACACTAACAACTCAAAGCACTCTCTTGAAAGTAGAATAGGAAGAAAAGTTAGAGAAGGTAAACACTTCACTAATAAAGAGAGATTACAAAGCTTGAAAGCTTGAAACCTTGGATGGATTGGAATAAGGGAAGGAACTCTTATTTATAGCTTCCCCCATGTCTTTGGTCTTACACCTAGCCAATGTGTGACTATTTTCCAAGGGAAGATTTACAATATAATATTCTATCTTCTAGAAGGTTCTACACTGTTCTTATGTACATATATATTCTAGATTCTTCTAGGTTGTTTCTTTAGACCTCCATCTTCTAGAATAATCCATCATGTCATGGTATCGGTGGGGCGTGACAAATAGCTCTTTAATCTCGTTTTTCCTATTTTTAGACATAAATGTTACTTGTGTTTTACCTTTACTGCACTGTTTCTTTTTTTCTTATGATTATTTTTTCTATCAGTACTATTTTTTTTAATGTCATTCCTTTATTTGCAGATGACCACATGTGGTGCAGATGGTCAGCCGCTTCATAGACCACGTGTTCTGGGACCCTTGAGACCACTAACCGTAGCATGGAGAGATCGTCTACTCTTGTCGATGATTTATTGGGAAAAAGAAAATAATTATATATATATATATATATATATATACATATATCTGTAGAAAGTCCAAAAGCAAATATATTAATAAAAGGAAAGGTACAGATAGGATGGATGAAAGGACCCAAATTGGCATTCTAACCACCCAACATACAAAACACCCGTAGAAATACATGTATACCAAAAAAAAAGTAGACATAGAGAAAATTACACCAAATACTCTGCCAACACTCGCAGATTTAGTTAGCATTCGAAAGATCCAAATTAGTCTTGTCTCTGTCTCTGATTCTAGGACGGGAGTCGGCTAACAAATTGTTAAGCTTCTTATGTTAAGCTTCTTATCGTCTTATCGTTACCCGAAACAACTAATGTATCATCCATCAAGTTTAGTGATAGACATTCATTCTTCTTCCTAGATGTATAAATCTGTCATCCCTCATCCGAGGATTAGCTCATCCGATCAGTGGATTGGTCTCGTTCATTTTGCTCTGCTGGGGTTTCGCCTCATGGTGAACTCTGGCATCTGCTCCGTCGATATTCGTTTTGTCGTGTTTTCCTCCTTTGTCGTGTTTCGTTTGTTGTGTCGTGTGACGTCGGTTGTTTGTCGCGCGTCACCGGTTTCACCCCTCGGCTGTTCTCTGCTCCGTCAACTCCTCGAGCTTTGTCGCGCGTCGTCTGTTTCGTCGCGCATCACCGGTTTCACCCTTCTTATGTTCTCTGCTCCGTCGGCTAAATTTCGTGCGGTTCTTTTTATGCCTCGCGACTATGTAGAGCAACACAGTAGAAGTGTTTCTCTGTTGATGTCGCACTTCCGCCTTCTACTCTACTT